AATGCAGGGGTTTGTAGGTGTGTATTTGTGTGTAGTTTTGATTTTTGTATATAATGCTGGTATTTTAATATAGGAGTGTGTTTGTATGTAGTGTTGGTATTTGAATGTAGGTGTGTATTTGTGTGTAGGTTTGCTGTTTGTCTGTAGTGTTGCCATTTTATTACAGCAGTGTGTTTTCATGTAGTGTTGGCATTTGATAGTAGAAGTATGTTTGTATGTAGTTTTGATGTTTGAGTGCTGTGAAGTGTGCATATATGCAAGCGTATACCTACACTGGCACACACACAGATACAAACATATACATACACAGGCACAAACACACTGGCACACATACAAACATATACCTACAGACAGACACACACATACACATTCCTACATACACACTGGCACACAGATACACATACATACCTACAGAAAACACATTGGCACACACATATACACACACACCGACTCACACTGGCATACATTGACACTCACAGATCCACAAAAACAGTATACCCTGCACTCAGGTTCCGCATATATGCTCCAGCCTTCCACCAAGGGGCGCTCTGTGTATCCCCGATTATCCAGAGAGATAAATATTTATCCTCCTATTCCTATCTCTTATTCCTAGAGAACTCTCAAATTAGTCATTGATGCTTTGCCAGCTTCATAGATATTCCTAGGTGCTAGTCCTATCTGTTATATTTGACATGACATCTGACTTCTTTCATATTATGGAATAGTCACTGTAGAGGAATATATTATGGTACTATATATATATATATATATATATATATATATATATATATATATAAACTTACTGTACCTTTAAGATCTGGATCATACATTTAAATAGACTTCATTTGTATACTTTCTAATCTAATATCTAATTTTTTTTGCCTGCTATGTGGATTTAAAATGTGCTAGTTTACCTTGCTGCATTAGATATGATATCTGATTTTTTCATGTTATGTAATATTTACCATAGATGAGTGCATTACCATGTTACTAAATAATAGGCTACTGTATCCTTAAGAGTCTATTTATTCGAATAGACTTCACTTAGATAGTACTTTCTAATTAATTATTGTAATTTTGCCTTGCATGGGTTTATATATGCCGTTTGATTCTCTGAACTGGACAGGACATTTGACTTTTTCATGCTATGGAATATTAACTAGAGATGAATGTATTACTGTGTGATTGTATAATATGTTAGTGCATCTTTAAATCCTGATCCTATACTTGAGTAGACTCCATGTCTTGTTTTTAGATGTCACTTATACATATGTTTTAACATGTGATTGTAATCTTTCATTAACTTAACTGGTTTGGGGGTTATTTAAACACTGCTGTTATGCTGTATCCCTCATGCATGAGCCGAAATGTTGCACTTATTGTGGTGAGGTGGTGAACCCACGAATAGAATTACCTTCTATATCCTGGAGTGTTGCCTGTGTTTCTCTTCTTTGATACTCATAGATCCACACACACATACCTACATGCAAACACACTGACACAGATACACACTGGCGCGCACGCACATACCTACACATATACTGACACTCACAGATCCTTCTGGCACTATAACTTCAATGAGCTAAAGTGGTCTCGGTGCCTATAGCGTCCCTTTAACCCATTTTTGGAGGATATTTATGTGACAATTTTTTTCTCATTCATTCAGCCCCATATTGGTAAATTTGAGATAAAATACTCACATTTGACCTTATATTTTAATTCAGATATTTGCCAAATGCAACTAAATTTGGAGATTTTCTCTAAGTGGCAATTAGGTGTAGTTCCTAAAACATTAACATAATGTCCGGTGCACAAAAAAATCTATAGCCTGACAGGTTTTTTTCAAAATAGAAAAAAGTAAATAGCAGGCCATGTGAAAGGATTTTTAGCTACACAGGCAAAAATACATTTTGATAAACCCTTTGAGTAACTGACTTCCTATTCCTCTACCTTCCCTTCTACATTTGATAAATTATATAATAGATCCAAGCGTGGAGATAAGTTTATTTTTTGAAAAAATAAATGCAGTCTTAAATCCAGTGAAATATATTATTCCAAAATGTAACTTACAAAAGAGACTTCTATGCAGATCGTCCCGGGCTCAACCTAACGCTTTGCAAGCAAATGCTTGTACGTAATCATATGTACTGGCCTGTACTCCAACTTAATTTTTTATTTTTAAAGATTCAGGACTGCATGAAGGTTTTTTATTTTATAGAATTTACATTTAAGTATAAAAAATGTTTTAACTGGATTTGAAGCCATGCTTATTCTTTGAAAGAAGAAATTTATCTCCATGCTCGAATCTACTATATTATGTATCGTCTTTAACCAAAGATAATGCCATTTGGAACCATATGAGAAGGCGCTCAGCAGGCAACACTGTGTTTATAAAGGGAAGTCTGGCTATACTGTGCTCTGTTTTTCCCCTCCTGCTCCGTCTCAGCACTTGAACTCCACATAACTGGTCATGGGGTGTGTGGGGGGGGGAGAAATGTAGGGTAACGATGCAGCAGCTACCGGTGTCTCTCAATATTGCCGGCAGTTTCTCCGGGTGCTCAGGCTGGTCAGGATAGGAAAGCATGGAGTGCAAGAAGTTCAGCCAAGCTACAGTAAATCCCATTGGAAGCCAGGGGGATAGAGAGGTAGATAACAGACTTGGGGTCGTCTTGTCTGCATCAACTGGTCAAACAATCTAGAGAAGACCATCAGTTTCATTGACAGGAAGGGGGCACTCACTGCTGCAGCAAGCTGAAGTGCTTTATCTGATTAGAGTGTTTCAAAGGTACATGAGAGGATATGGTTGAAGCAAATTATGGGACAATGATCAACCTAAAACAACTTTTGACCCACTGAGCCCGCTACCATGTTTATTTCTTTAGGAGTATCTACACTAAAAATGCTCAACTCTGTCTAGGGGCATGGACATTATATTTTTCAGCATATAGACTTTTAGTATATCTTCCTTTAAAAGTATAAAAATTTTCTTTAAATAAAAACTAATTTGTGTACAAATACAATCACTGACAAACACTCATTTACTCAATGGCGACCACCCCCCCACACTCTCAAACAGCAACCCATACAAATTCACTTACCCGGGCAGCCTGACAAACACATACCCACTGACTCAGACAAATTCACTGAAACACATGACGAGGTACTATTTACCATCATTTCACATATCAGCTAAATGTTTTGTGCTGCAGGCACATTGACTATGGCCGACGACAGCCCATCACTCTCCCCATTTAAGCCCCCACCCACATGACAAGGCAGGAGTAGGTGAATGATGAACCAGTGCGCTGTTGCCATTACTGTCTGGGAGGAGAGCTTGGTTCTAAGTAAATTACTTTGCATGCCAAGTGGTAGTTATCAGCCACATAATTGCTACCTGGTACTCCATGCTGTGGTGGCCTGCAGACATGCTTTACCTGTCTAGTCCCACTTCATAGAGGGATTGCTCAAATTAACATTAAAATTGCATGGACGATAGGTTTCAACTTCAGCAATCTGAATTTTTCCAGGCAAGGTAGTTCCTCCCCTTTGTGCAAGTCTTTATGAGAAGTCACCCAGAAGGGGAATCTACATGTTATAAAACTAATTGCAGGAAAAAACTTGACTGCTCTCCATGTTTTAGCTTTAGATGAGAACACAACCTAGTTGAAAAGCTATGAGAGAATGATTGGTTTAATAGCTTCATTAATATGAAGCAAATTGCTCTATCAACACAGATTAAAGAAATTTGCTATACACTGCTAGCATGTTAGTTCATCCAACCGAGCAGGACTTGTTTTGGGGTCTGTATGTGCATGGCTGGTGGTCCTACCCCAAATGTAAGCCATTTGCCAGATTATTAAAGTGCCTTACCATGACTGAATCCCCAGGTGGATCTCCTATATCAAGATTACAGGAACCTTACTCTCACCTGTGAAGTATGTAAGCTTATTTTACGAGTATGTGCAGCTTTGTTTCTCCAAAACTCTGATGAATTGACCCTCAGACCCAAGTGAGGATTTTGAATATTAAAAAGTGATACCATCTATCCACAAAACTATGGATGGTATCAATTTTTCAATTTCCAGCCAAATGTGGAAGCCCTGCAGAGGATTTAGACACATGAACTGAAATAGCAGCATTAATGTCAGATAAATACAATGTTATGCACTTTTGGGTAAAGAATGCACAAGCAACTTACACCCTTAACTCTAGTGAATTAGGGATAACACATGAGACTGATTGTCAGCCGTTACCAAGATCAGTAAGGTATTGTTACGCATTAAATAAAAAAAGTCAGGAGGGCTACAAAATTAAAAAGAATAACATTTTAGCTATGAAGAAAAGGATAGCACATTTATGTTTAAATTAGAAAAAGGTCTCCTTAGAGAGGATATAAAATCGTGTCATACAAAATATAGTCAGGAGCCAATACAAACTATTACAAGAAAACTAGATTCTGAAAAAGGAAATGTGCAATTAGAGGGACAGAGCCCACTTTAACAGCTCCTAAAGCTTTAAAGTGTCAATATAGGCACCCAGAACACTTCAACTCATTGATGTTGCCTGGGCACTGTGTCCTTGTGTCTTCCTGCCCTCCCCCAGGTTACTATAAATGTATGGTATTCCTAACACTATAGAAGCCCTTTGTCATAGAAAGGCTCTTTATCAACATAACTCCTAAATCAAAAATATTTAACGTGAACCTGTTAGGGTTCAATTTGGAAACAGTTTGCAAAACTTCCCTTAAAAGCCAGCAATTCAAACTTTGCCATGGTAGCATTCATTTTGTACAGGTATGTTGATTAAATAAAACCTAAAGAGGGAAGGCAATATTGTGGATATTAAAAAGTCAACTGCACAAGACCAGTGCTTATATGGAGGCACAGAACATCTTGATTTGGATCTAGTAAATATTTGTAATGTAATCAGAAGAGACTAGACAGGTGTCCACAGAATTCATGTCATTGCTCCAAGGCTCTTGGCTGACCTGGTCAATTGGCCTTACACACTTAGAACAAAAACACAAACTTGGAACTGCAATTTAATATTTAGAAGTGTAAACTTTTAATGTAACAGACTAAATTTTAGAGACATTGAGAAAATGTGCGTTCAGGACCAGCAACATGAGTATCCTTGTGTCTTGACTCTCGAATGGAATGTAACAAGTGCAGTTGAAGAGCTGGATTCAATCCCTCTTTTTATAAGCCTCCATGTTGGAGAGAACCCATCCGGATGGAGCCAGGAAGCATACAACGAATGTTGTAAATCCAATCATGGACTCCTGAGGGAGGAGATAGATGGAAAAATATATTACCTTGATCTACTAAAAATGTGAGACTGAAATCAAATGCATTATAGATCAATTAAGTGGATTTTAAATGGGAAATTTCAAAAGTATTTATTAACCACATGCTGGAAAGGGCTGTCTAATGTAATTTGTGAACATGAAGTCTACAGTAGAATTTCTCTTTTCAGATCCAGTTCTTAAAGGACCACTATAGTGCCAGGAAAACACTCGTTTTCCTGGCACTATAGTGCCCTGAGGGTGCCCCCACCCGGCTCTGGAAGGGGGAAAGGGGTAAAAACTTACCTTTTTCCAGCGCTGGGCAGAGAGCTCTCCTCCTCTCCGCCTCCGTTACGCCCCGCCGGCTGAATGCGCATGCGCGGCAAGAGCTGCGCGCGCATTCAGCCAGTCTCATAGGAAAGCATTTACAATGCTTTCCTATGGACGCTGGCGTGCTCTCACTGTGATTTTCACAGTGAGAAGCACGCAAGCGCCTCTAGTGGCTGTCAATGAGAGCCACTAGAGGATTAGGGGGAAGGCTTAACCCATTCATAATTATAGCAGTTTCTCTGAAACTACTATAATTATGAAAAAATGGGTTAACCCTAGAAGGACCTGGCACCCAGACCACTTCATTAAGCTGAAGTGGTCTGGGTGCCTAGAGTGGTCCTTTAACACTAGCATGGTTATTGATCAAAATGTCATATGCTAGAAAGTCAGAATATTACAAATGTAAGGCAGAAATAGCCAGATTGTCAAGATTCAAGTCAACTTTATTTTTGCTTTATGTTTGGATTTCACACTACTGAATAAGCCTAGATTCATTAAAGTTGTGCTTTAAAGGAACACTATAGAATTAGTAATACAAACATGTATCCTTGATGCTAGTGTGAAAAAAAAAAAAAAAAAGGAAAGTTTAGGTGGCACCCTCCTTTAAAAGCTGCAAAATTCACCTCTATTCCAGCACTGCACAAGTCTGACAGTGCTGACTTTGCCTCCTTTGGTTGAGATCAGAAGTTACAGTTCACATCTCAAACAATTCAGTGCTTTCCCATTGAATCAATGCATCTGCTGGGAAGTTTCGTATATGTCTGACTGCCACTGAAGGTCCCTGGGCAGCAATGTAAACACTGCCTTTTCTCTGAAAAAAAGAGTGTTTACATGAAAGTGTCTGCAGGGTCATACTATACTCACCATAACATTAAACTGTAGTTATGGTGACTAGTGTCCCTTTAACCTGTGATCTACTAAAATACACTTTCTAGATCAACCCAAAGTGAAAACATGCCCTGCTCATTTAGGGTTATATGCAAAAACAGCTTGCAAAAGCATCTTGTGTCTGCTACCTTTGCAAGTCCCCCTCCCCCAAACTCAGCCCAGATGTTCTGTGGCTGTCCAATCAGACTTTCCAATGCAGCTCAAAGTCTGAGAAGTCTTTGCATGACAGGTGCTCTGTAACTGCTGCCTCTTGAGTTAAGCTCTACTGAGCTTAACAACTAAGGACTACATATAAAGCCCTTCAGCAAACTAAACTGCATTAGATGTGGAGTGTTCCTTTAATATGAAGTAAAAAAAATCCACGTTTTCACATACTGCAAAATTCCTTTATATGACTGTCCTCGGAAGTCATAAAGAGGTTAAATCTAATTCATAACGTCAGCCATGTGTGGGATTACAGTTTGTTGGCTCTGTAGTAGAGATCAAATAAAATGTCTGAATGAAAACGCTGTCTAAGCAAGGCTGCCAACTCAACTGTTGGTAGCCAGTGAAACATTCCTTCATGCAAGCCTACCTTCTAGCATTCAGAAATAAATATGCGTGATCTCTGCCAGGCTAGATACTCACGCATAGCACGAGGATGTTGTGTTTATAGATGTTTTCATATTAAGCTCTTCTACTGCATGCCCTTTCCCCTATCTGGATCAGTGTAACCACACATTTTATTTTTAAATTTACGTGACAGGTGAACACATTGCACTCTGATGGATAGTAAATTCCAGGTTATATGAACACTGCCTACTGCAACATTAGTGCCAGTATTATGGATGCAATAGCGTTGAGTAAATCAGGTCTTGACAAATTTGCTTTGAATCTAGGAGCCAGGATTTTTTTGAACAAAGCTTTATTTTCAATGATAAAAATACAATTCTTAAAAAGGAGACACTACAGCTTAATGTAGTGGTTCTGGTGTCTATAGCTTGTACCTGCAGACTTTTCAATGTAAACAATGCCTTTTCAGAGCAGCAGCAGTATTTACATTGCTTCCTAGTAACACCTCTAGTGGCAGTTAGTAACTCTAGTCAGTCACTAGAGGTACTTCCTAGTCCAGGGTGGCACCTATGTTAAGAGTCTCCACTGTTTGCATGAAGATTATTATTGATCCCATAGAGATAATGGATTCAATGTATCTACAACAAGATTCTGAGTGGCAGAGTACAGTGTGGTTGCACATGCAGTATTGAGTCCCAAACCTTTACAATAAGTAAGCATTGGATTGGCTGAGATCATCAAGATATGGGATCTTGGCCAGTGGAGGTGGGACCAGCATGGCATGGGGAAGTGAGTAAGAACACCTTTCCCAAGTTATAGGAGAGGGGGTTAGTAACCTAAACAGACACTCCGTGATAAATACACTGATTCGACACAAAGGCACATTCTCACACTCAATTTATTTTAATTTAAAGTCCATCCAGCCTCCCTACCATTGGGAGAGTTGAAGTGGATCCTTTCCATTTGGGATGCTGTCACCTTCATCTGCTCCATTGTTTAGCGATGGGGCGAAGTGACATCACAGGACACATGAGGGAGCAGACCAAGACAATCACAGCTCCCTCAGCCACCCACCAGAAAAAACCCACACTAGTTGACATGGTGACCTGGGATTTGTCAAGCACAGATGTAAGTGGATTTTAAAATTGATAAGAGTCCAGGGCAGATGACTTAAATTCTCTGCATGGTGTTCGGATTTGGGTTTTACTACTCACTAGATCTTCTATTAAGTCCAGAATTTGCCAGATGGCTGCCAAACTAAAGTAGAGGGCCAGTGTCTCAGTCCCTACATTGATCTGCCAGGACAATATCACCCAGAGACCACAGTCCAAGTAACCTCTTTAAGGGGCTGCAGATCTGTGCATTCAGACAGCTACATCTTCCCCATACATACTGTGCCCTCCACTGATATAGGAACCCTTGGCAATTTGTCACAGCCTTCAGTGCTTATGCTTGCAATTGTGGTTTATCCCTTTTGAAAAAAGAAAAAAACATTTATATTTAAAAAAAAAGTATGCAAGCGTGGGACAATCACTTGCACCCTTTCAAATGTCAAAGTGGATATGGGCAGACCCTTTAGTTCACCCCATAGGTTTTCTATGGGATTCAAGTCAAGAGACCAGGATGGTCATGGCAGGACCTCAGTTTTGTGATCAATGAATCTTTGATTATTCGGGACAGTACAGCAGTGAGGTCTAGGATTCCACAAGACCCTCCATAGACAGCCAATTCTCTGATGCCTGTCTGGATTGACTCAGACTCTGCCCTTAGTCTTAAAAAAAAAAAAAAGGTCAGGCAGAGGAGATATACAGAGAAAGTTATTTTGTCTCATTATCTCTTGACTAATTCCAGTGAAGTGACAGTCAAAGTATTCATAAAGATTTATTTTTACAAAATATTCATTTTTCCATTGTGGGGGAGTCAGTGCCACTTTAATGTCTTTCCCTACAGCCGTCATGAGTGACTGCAGGGAGGATAAGATAAAACTTGACAAATGTAGCTTTGCCTTTGTTACGTGTAAGAAAAATACAAAGACAATGAAGCTTCAACTTTGTCCTAGAATCTCTTTTGACAGCATAAGAATTTCAGTGAAATTCCAACAGTCAATGTGAGCATTGCATAAAGATTTTATCTTCTTTGAATGGTATTCATACCCAGCCAATGAATTCCACCCAACTACAGTGAAATTTATGTAATTAAAGCGAAAGTAGAAGCTTTTGTATTAGTGATTTTAGAGGTCGACCTGAGGGCTTCCTTGCAAGGAAGCCCAGTGTCAAGTCATTAGAAAATTGACTCACGCAGGGAATGCTACATGGGAATTCCTGACACCATAATCACTGCAGTGTGATATAATGGTTATAATGAGTGGATGTTCTAAGTCAGTCTAAGCAGCATGACCACTACAGCTCCTTATAATGATTATGATACTAGGAATCTAAATGCCATCCTTTGCTTTACTGGCAAGCCATCTTTGAGCTATTTGACAAAAAAACAAACATGGCTCTCCTGGCACCCAGAGCCCACCTCATGTGCAACTCACTGAGGTGGGGTAGATCTAGATCAACACTCAGGAGTGGCATCAAGATTTGATCAAATTTGCACTTGATAAAGTATAAATATTTGTATTACCAGTGTTGCTGTAGAGAACGAAGGATGTGTGAAAGGTAAAGCCACATTTTCCCTCAAGCCAGTGGGAAAGTTGCTTGACAGGAAACTATTGCATATAAACCATAAAACAGACTAACTAGTGTTATCCAGTGTCACACCAAAAAAACACTACTGTCAAGTCAGAGAAATGGACAGTTGTAAAGGGACAAGTTTGCTCCCACCAAGCTGTCAGACAGCCAAGATGGTGCTCCTAAGGCATCACTTTTTACACACCTCACATCTCATTCAATGCTTCTTTACAACAAGCATTCCAGGGGCAGGGTGGCAATTGTTGCCCATGCAACCCAATGCTTCTATATGAGAGGCATCAAACTGACCAGGAGACCATCAGTACCAATCTCCTGGCAGGCAGAGTTGGGCTGGACACTTACCACTGGTGTATAGTTAAATGGATATATAGTGCTAGGAATACAAAGTTGTATCCCTAGTACTACAGCTGCCTCTGCCACCAGCCCCCTTCCCCTCTCACAGCCCTGCACCCCACTGTTAAAGTTAAACCCTTACTGTACTCACCTGATTCCAGGGGCTGGGTCATTGCACCACCTCCTTTGAAGTCACTAGATAAGGGGCTAATGCGCATGTGCAGCAGCGCATTAGGCCCTTCCCATAGGAAAACACTGCTGTTATCCTATAGGGATTTTACTGATGCCCTCACGCAGAGCTTGAGGATGTCCAGCATTAGCTAACCAAAAATCCTATAGCAAGCAGTGAGTGTCTCTAGAAGCAGTCAGATTGACAGCCAATAGAGGCAGCCTTAACCCTGCAATCCAATTACGGTAGTTTCACTGAAACTGCAATAGTTAACATTGCAGTGTTAAAGAGACTCTAGTGCCAAGAAAACATTTGTTTTCCTGGCACTGCAGGACCCTGCAGTGCCCCTCTACCTGCCAACCCCCATCCTAAGTTGCTGAAGGGGTTAAAGTCCAGCGCCAATGTCAGGCTCCACCTACTCCCCCCACCCCTGCATCAGCCAGCAGGGAGAGCTAATGCACATGTGCGGCAATGGCCATGCATTAGACCTCCCCACAGGAAAGTATTATTCAATGTTTTCCTATGGTGATTTTGGCGATGCTGAAGGTCCTCACATAGCATGAGGATGTCCAGTGTTGCTTAAAACACTTTTCGTGTTCTAAGAACACGGAAGTATCTCTAGTGGCTGTCTGATAGACAGCCACTAAAGGAGGATTTAACCCTGCAAGATAATTATTGCAGTTTATAAAATTTGCAAAAATTACACTTGCAGGGTTAAGACCACTCCAATGGGCATGAGTGGTCTGGGTACCTGGAGTGTCCCTTTAAAGGGAACAGACATTGCACCCAGACCACTTCAGTGAGACGAAGTGGTCTGAACCTATACTGTCATTTTAAAGGACCACTATAGTGCCAGGAAAACTCGTTTTCCTGGCACTATAGTGCCCTGAGGGTGCCCCCACCCTCAGGGACCCACTCCCGCCCGGCTCTGGAAGGGGGAAAGGGTTAAAAAGTTACCTTTTCCCAGCGCTGGGCGGAGAGCTCTCCTCCTCCTGAGCTGAATGCGCACGCGCGGCAAGAGCTGCGCGCGCATTCAGCCCGTCGCATAGGAAAGCATTCATAATGCTTTCCTATGGACGCTTGCGTGCTCTCACTGTGATTTTCACAGTGAGAAGCACGCAAGCGCCTCTAGTGGCTGTCAATGAGACAGCCACTAGAGGATTAGGGGGAAGGCTTAACCCATTTATAATTATAGCAGTTTCTCTGAAACTGCTATAATTATGAAAAAATGGGTTAACCCTAGAAGGACCTGGCACCCAGACCACTTCATTAAGCTGAAGTGGTCTGGGTGCCTAGAGTGGTCCTTTAAGTTAACGCTTGGCAAAGGAGATCCATTTGTTTTTCCCAACACTATAAATAAGTGTACTGAAGTCAGTCTACAATCTGACTACTAAGAGACATTTTTTCCAGTTTCCCAAACAAAAATAGATAAAAAAAGGGCTACACTATTCAAATATTTAGGAGCAGGATAAGACATAACTATATTGTTTTAACATTTACATAAATGGCACACAGGTTAACAGTCAAAATTATGATCTTTATATAAAAAAAAAAAAACTAAAGTAAACTTTTGTAACAAAAACACTGCATAGATTTAAGAGTTACACCCTATATGGTGATTTTGTCATTGCAGTTGCCCTGTAGACAATAGATTTTTCACAACTCAGAAGGGCCTAAAGAGCTTATCTGGACTAATAACATTGCAGGTTGAAGTGCCAGCTATGGCAGTGGATGATAAAAGCATATACTGGAAAATATAAACTGCATAGAAATATAGTGAGTGTATTTTTGATGATGTATAACCCTATACCAGCCGGTAGGTAATATATATTATATAATAACCCTGCTCCACCTCTCACAATGTGGGGTTACCAGCATGGCCTCCTAATGTCTACATGCACAGCCTCCTCCCGGTCACTCACCGTGGAGCTCATTGGGCTGCGAGCTGGCTTGGAAGCAATCCCCCTCCGAGCTGTGACCTGAGCCAGGCTTGGAATCCGGAACAGCCGAGTTAGTGAGGCGGACATGTTGGATGGTCGAACAGCGATAACAAACAGCAGCTATATGACACTGAGAAAGGTCAGACTGAGCGGAAGAAGCCCCGTACACTGCCTTTTATAGTTACCCTGACACGTGACAGGAGCGCATCGGCAAGGGGGCGGGGCGAAGACTACAGAGAGCAGTGTTTTGAATTAAAAAAACTTTATTGAGTGTGGGGCACAAATACAAAGAAGATAGCAGGGATGGGCATGCTCAGTTTGATGGACATCACTGTGTGACTGTGTCCAAATGAGTACATTAAATAAAATATTTTATTATTTTTTTATTTGGGAAACCTCTGAATGAGATGAAGTTAGTGGTATCACATGTCCTCAATATTTGAGCTGTTCAGAGAGTAATACTTACATTTTAGAGGGTGTGGTTCAAGGCATGACCATAGTAGTTGTTTATTAAATTATCTACTGATAACCATTTATTACAACAACAACAAAAAAAAAAATATTTTGAACAATTTAAAACATCTTTTAAAAAAAAATGTGTGGTTTGAAGACACAGAACTGTACATTTTATGTTTCTATTATACACTCCAGGCAAAGTTTCCAGGAGTGAGGGACAATAAAAGCAAATGAAGGACCAAAGAATGGACTCCTTGTCTCCTACCCAAACATAGACCGATGTCAGGTTTTAGTTAGTGGGGTGCAAGTCAATTGAAAGCTGGGTGTTTGAAAATAAATTGTTTTACCTAGAGAATGAGACCCTGTGGTGAATTTTCAGCAGCCTAACACTGGGTCTCAGAAGTTAGGAATAGCAAATTGGTTGAAGCCAGCCCTAAACTATAGCATCAACCACAGCATTCACACAATTTGTAGATGCCAAATGTACACACAATATCCTTATTTGGTCCAGTTCCCATGCATAAGACAAATACCTCTGCAAAAAGTTATTTCTAATTCACCGAGGCACATTACAACCCAATTTCAATAGGAAAAGTCATTGCAAAATTAAATTGGACCTAACCACTTAGTAGGCTTAGTTATCCAAGTGACCAGAGTTCAGTATGAGCCCACTGTACTTGAATGAAAGAGGACTGAAAAAGAAAACAGAAAAAGGTTCAAATCCTTTTCCACATTTAGCACTAGTTGGCACTTTATTTCATGTCTAATGTTACTTTCCCAGCATTTCTAGTTACATGTAAAACAGTACTAATTGGGGGTGGAGCCTGACACGGACCGGAGCAGACACACATTGCCGGAGCTCCGGTGCAATCCACTGCAATCTGACACAATCCCGGCCACACATACAAGCACAGACCTCAGAGAACCCCACTGTGACCGCCGATGCCGTTCTTCCTGACGCCCGGCTCCAAAACTAAGCGGCAAGGCCTATAGGATGGGAGGGCAGCCTCAGACCATAACGGGAGCACACTGGCCCTGGAACTTCACAGACTTTGAGGACTGGTACCCCAGCACACAGAGCTCAGGTGAGATGGGTCGCAGGACGCAAAAAACGTCCCAAAACATCCCGAAACAGCGCAACATAGGCCAAATGCTACAGGCCCCAAGCGCACTGAAAGCCCAGACTCCCCGTGAAACATCCCCACAACCATCAGAGGAGGGAGAAACACAAGACAGCCCACACCCCAGTCCCCAACACCCCATACACACATGGACATCAGAAGCCAGCTGTAATGATATTGATGTTACAAAGTTTTGGAGTCCAGTAGCCAGATCAGCAATGTTTTCTGCCAGAGGTAGCCACTCGTTACCCAGGTGGTTGAGCCCCTGAGCCTTGAGTGGCCTTCTGGTCTTAAGCAGAGATGGGAGACTGGAACAGAAAGATGATAATCGTAGTGAGGCAAGCCGAGGTCAGTGGGAAGGAGAAGCAGCAAAGTCAAAACAGTCCAAATTCAGCAACAGGAAGGAGAAACAGGAACACGCTTGATTAGAGAGTACAGGAACCACAATAATCTGGCAAAGGTACAGAGACAGGAAGTGGCTTTTATAGGCCAAGAACCAGACACCTGACCAGACACAGCTGAAGAGAGTTGTCACTGATAACCTTGACTCTACAAGCAATGGTATAAGATCTCAGGTAAATTTGCAAAAGGCAGGCTGGTGTACTGGTAAGGAAAAGGTTTAGCACCATGTAAACCAGGGTTCGAAACCCAGCAGAGTCAGTTCCTCACATTACCTCCACCTCTACAGGCGCAGCCTCTGGATGCCCTATTTCCTGGTTTAGCAGGGTACTGTGCATGGAAAGACTGAAGAAGATCAGGAGCATGAATATTGTTCACTGGTTCCCATGATCTATCCTCCTCACCATAGCCTTTCCAATGAACCAAGTATTGAAGCTTGTTGCGGAAGATCCTGGAGTCAAGAATTTTTTCCACCTTGTATTCATCTTCACCATCCACGAGGACTGGTGGTGGGGCAGGCAAGGCTCGACCAGGGAAAGTATTTTCATGAAAAGGTTTAAGCAGTGCCACGTGAAATACCGGATGTATTTTCATGGAATCCGGATGTATTTTCATGGAATCTGGAAGTTGCAGACAGAAGGTGACTGCATTGATCTGAGCGATTATCTCAAAAAGTCCCATGAACTTTTGACCCAATTTATGAGAAGGAATCCTAAGCTTAAGATTCTTTGTTGACAGCCAAACCTTGTCACCAACATGATAAACTGGGGCCTCCTTTCTGTGCCTATCAGCAGCTCTTTTGTAACATTCCTGAGCCTCCGAAAGAGTCTCCTTCAACAGTTCTTAGGAATCTCGTAAGGCGGTTAGCCGGTCAGTTACTGCAGGAATGGGAGTAGTAATTGGGAGACTCACTAGAAAGGTTGGATGGTAACCATAATTGGCAAAAAATGGGCTCAGAGAAGTGGAGCAGTGTTGGGCATTGTTATAGGCAAACTCCGCCGTGGGTAGAAAATCCAGCCAATCATCCTGCAGGTAACTAATATAGCACCGCAAATATTGTTCTAAAGTCTGGTTGGTTCGCTCAGTCTGTCCATTACTTTGTGGATGAAAAGCTGAAGACAGATTTACATTAATACCTAGAATAGAACAAAAATATTTCCAAAAATGAAATGTAAACTGCACTCCCCTGTCAGAAATTACTTCATCAGGCACTCCATGCAAGCGAAATATTTCCCGAATAACAAGGTCAGCAGTCTGTTTAGCTGAAGGGAGACCACGAGCTGGTATGAAATGACTCATCTTGGTTAACCAGTCCACAACAACAAGAATAGTAGTGTGTTCCTTAGAGGGAGGTAGTTCCACAATAAAGTCCATGGATATAGATCCCCAGGGACGATGAGGAATCGGAAGAGGCTGAAGCAAGCCAACAGGGGATGAGCGAGGAGTCTAATGTCTGGCACATACATCACAAGAGGACACATACTTCTTAACATCCTCATAATATTTAGGCCACCAAAAGGATCGGGTAAGTAGTTCTTGTGTCTTTCGGATTCCTGGATGACCTGCTGGTTTAGAGTCATGGTAGAGGCGTAAAACGTCCAGTCGCACTGATTCTGGAACAAACAGGCGTTGTTGAAAAATCCAAAACCCATTAAGCATGGTCATATGAAGATCACGAGGAGGATCACGAAAAACTGGATCTTTAGAGTAGCCCTTTTTAATGCGAGACATTAGATCAGAAGGAAAGGTAACTCCTAAAAATCTGCTCTCCGGCAAGATGGTGGCCTTAGTTACTGTAGTATGGAGGGGGTCAGCTATCCTAGACAAGGCATCCGCCTTGCCATTTCTGGAACCAGGGCGGTATGAAATAAAAAAATTAAACCTTGAGAAAAATAGGGACCAGCGTGCTTGTCTGGCTGACAGTCTCTTAGCGGATTGGATACATTCCAGATTTTTGTGATCTGTGAGGACAGTAATTGGATGGGTGGCTCCCTCCAAGAGATGTCTCCATTCGGTGAAGGCAGCTTTTATAGCCAAAAGTTCTTTATTCCCTATGTCATAATTTCTTTCTGCTGGTAACATCTGGCGGGAATAGAAGGCACATGGATGTAACAACATCTTAGGTCCAGTCCTTTGAGACAGTATAGCCCCAACAGCTGAATCAGAAGCATCTACCTCTACAGTAAATGGCAATTCTGGCTGAGGATGTACCAAGATAGGGGCAGATGTAAACAGAGTCTTTAATCTGGAAAATGCAGTGTCAGCCTTATTGGACCACTGAAAAGGAGTCCCTTTACGTGTAAGTTCAGTGATCGGTGTAATAACGGCAGAGAAATTCTTAATGAAACGCCTGTAAAAATTGGCAAACCCCACAAATCTCTGTATATCTTTTTCATTCTTGGGGATGGGCCAGTCCAGCACAGCTTTAATTTTACTTGCGTCCATACTTAAACCTTTAGGAGTTATTACATACCCCAGGAACTGAATTTCTGTTTGTTCAAACTCACATTTTTCCAGTTTAATGTATAGGTGGTGGGTACGAAGGCGCTCAAGAACAATGCAGACCTGTTTTCTGTGATTTTCAAGATTATCAGAAAATATCAGGATATCATCCAAATATGCCACAACAAACTGATCCAGGAGATCCCGTAGTACATCATTGATTAGATGCTGAAAAGTTGCAGGGGCATTACAAAGCCCAAATGGCATTACTAGATATTCGTAATGTCCGTACCTGGTTCTGAAAGCTGTTTTCCATTCATCATTTGGTCTTATGCGAACCAGATTATATGCCCCCCGTAGATCAAGCTTCGTAAATATTTTAGCTGAACGAAGTCTCTCCAGAAGTTCAGGAATGAGAGGCAAGGGATAACGGTTTTTAACAGTGATTTTATTAATGTCCCTGTAATCGACACATGGCCGTAGACTGCCATCTTTCTTTTCTACAAAGAATATAGGAGCTCCTGCTGGAGAAGTGGATGGTCGAATAAAGCCTTTAGCAAGATTTTCTTGTATGTATTCACGAAGTGCTTTCAATTCAGGCTCAGAAAGGGAGTATATACGGCCAAATGGGATAGCAGCTCCAGGTAGCAGCTCTATGGGGCAATCATAAGGCCTGTGAGGTGGAAGCTGATCAGCATTCTTCTTATCACAGACATCTGCAAAATCCTGATATTGTAGCGGAAGCTTAGTTAAGTTTGTAGCAACCATTTCATTAATTGTTGTGGTAACAGGTGTCGCCTTAGAGG